AATTAATAATAATAATGATGAGAGGGGCTGCAAACGGCTACATGCAGTGGTACTCGAAAATAGAGTACTACTAGTACTAGTAGCTGTAGACCACAGTAGACCACAGTCAACTACACGTACATGTATACTAGATTATCACTCTTCTATATCGACCTCCACTAATTCTCGTGATCCTTGACTGGTCCTATATTACCCATATCGCCGCAATATCGACCGCTTATATCGACCGCTTGTATCGACCACTTAGGCATTGTAATCTTTCGACTTTGGAGGGACTTAGAATTTTTCTCTCCACTTCAAAAAGAAAAAATTGAAAGAAAGAAGACAAAGGAAGAGAACAAGCAGGATTCGAACCCACAACAGTATGAATCTCAAGCAACCCCTTATACCACCCAGCCACTGTGCTGCAGATGCTGAACTCTGTTGTTCTTACAGTCTTGTACCCAAAATAGGCAACATCCTATGTACACTATAGTACAAATACTATACTAAAAAGGTTAAAATAGCTCCTACACACAAAGTTTCAAATTTTGGGGTTATGGCAAAGGAATCGTGATAAATAGGATATTGACCTCGACTTCGGTCGATATGGGAAATATAGGCCTCGTAAAAGACCTCGGCGGACCTCGGTCTTTTACTCGGCCTATATTTCCCATATAGACCTCGTCTTGGTCAATATCCTATACATATTGACTGCGCTAACGTCACGGAAAGTAGGCCAATACTAGGCCAGTTTTGCAGTAGGCAGTCTGACTCAGGTCTACTACTAGTACCTGAGAATGACTCGGTAGGAGTTATCCCTGCATCCATGCACACACCACGTATTATGCATATCTGTCAAGTATCCCGATTTTTTCTGGATTATCCCGCATTTTTGGTCGAAGTCCCGCGATCCCGAAATTCCTGTAGATTATCCCGAAAATCACTGTCCACGAAACAAGTTCTTGGAGCACTTCAAGTGACTGTGTCTAGTTGTCCTTATAGATTCTGTACCGCCATAGCTGTAGTACCAGTGGCTCTACTAGTACTCCTTCCATAAACAGTCCCTGAAAAACCTCCGTTTTGAGTCCTGAAAAAAAACTTAAATTACCGTGTCCGTTCCCAAAGGGAACTCCCGACGGCCGCTAACACCCGGTAAACCTTAGCGGCAGATGCAGCGCCTAACGGTGGGTGAGTCCTGAACTAGCGTATAATGTGATGAATATCTACAATTGTAATCACTGATGATGTCACAAAATTTTGGTATCATTTTCAAAAAAATTAAAAATTAAATTTTGGAAAAATATGACATACAGTCAACTTCGCTAATAACGACTGCGCATATAACGACAATTCGCGAATAACGACAGAATTTCCATGCCCATGCCCAGAGCAAAGTCACATCCAACTGTATTATAATGGGACTTAGGGTATAAGGACACTTTTCTGATGCCCCGCCGAGTGTCGTTATACGCAAAGTTGACTGTATCCCGAAAACCAAGGGAAATCCCGGGATTTTGCCCTGGTAATCCAGAAAAAGCACTCTCAGTACTTGACAGGTGTGACATACAATGTAGATCATTGAACAAGGTACATAATTGTACGTGATTGTTCAATGTACAAGTGTACAAGTGTACATTGCAAGTACTGTCTGTCACTGAACAACACGCAGAACTCAGTCTGCAAGAAAGCATGTACGGCAGCTGTAAACATGGTAAATGTCAGTCGAAAATGTCTGACCCAGCTGATAACAGAACTACATTCACGATACTACAAGTACAGTGAATGTAGTGTATAATCACGTGTACTGTACACTGTATACTGTGTACAGTATACTGTGTACAGTATACTGTGTACAGTATACTGTGTACAGTATACTGTACACAGTATACTGTACACAGTATACAGTGTACAGTATACTGTACACTGTATACTGTACACAGTATACTGTACACAGTATACAGTGTACAGTATACAGTGTACAGTATACTGTACACTGTATACTGTACACAGTATACAGTGTACAGTTCTGTAAAGTCACAGTGTTATCTGCTCTGGGATTTCAAACCAATCGGGTACACGCGTACCTTGCACAACTCTTGCATCCGGGTGCGTCCTCCTGGGTACATTCAACTGTGGCTATTGTACATCAGCGAGTCTTAGGACTTCCCAATTGAGTCCTGGTGTTCTTTTTCCAAGCGGGCCCAAGTACACCCCCCCCCCCCCCCCCCCGACCAAGTCGCTAGCCCAGCTCTGGAGCAGACACTGAGTCATGTGCAGTTGTGCACATGTACACGTCGATGTGGCTAGAAATGAGCAAAGGTTGTGTGCTTTGCTTGATCCAGGCACCCCACCATGATCGTCACAGAGACTAGCCTGCACACGCAAGTGATGTACCTCGGTTCCGGACCCGGAAGTTATGGGCACTTTGGTCCACTGGGCACCCTTTGGGCGAGTTTTAGTGGAAATATTACTACTCTTGTCACTTTTCGTGGAAATAGTGACGTCATATGCCATATCTATAGCCTGTCCCCATCGAAATGTACATGTATGTGATTCGGAGTTACGGACATTTCGAAGTTACGGGCAGTGGCCTGTCCCGGACCGCTCGGATAAACGAGGTATGAGTGTATTGGCAGACACTACTCTAACATTTGCCAGATGTTACTCTACAGTAAAGGCATTGAAATCAGCAGATCCATAGCCATGTACTCTCTGTCATACATGTACCTTGTTCATCCGGGCGGTCCGGAACCGGCCACTGCCCGTAACGTTGAAATGTCCGTAACTCCGAATCGCATACATTTTGATTGGGAAAGGCCATACATAATTATGGCACATGGCGTCACTATTTCCACGAAAAGTGACAAAGGAGTAGTAATATTTCCACTGAGACTCGCCCAAAGGGTGCCCGGTAGACCTAAATGCCCGTATTAAACTGCAGGGTCCGGATAGCCGAGGTATAAGTGTACAAGGCATACATGTATGGTGGACAAGTCAACCAATCCTCCTCTTACTTGACCATTACAAAACATACCAAAACATCCCGGGACAAGTATCGAATACTGCATGCTGGTTGTCTGTCAGCAATGCTGCATCATCCACCAAGTTCTAGTGTATTGTCCAGCAAGGTCATGCTTATTTCAGTGAGCCACTGGGTTCGAAGACTCTGATTGGTCGTTCCCATGGGTATGCGTTTAGTACGATGCCATCACGTTACCCCTGCAATGGAAATAGTGCTAGTCGACCACGCACCCGTGCATACACACTAGACCAGGGACTATTCACCCAGGAACTTTCTACCAAAAGGTATTTCAGCATACAGCAGCAGTCTGTCGTCCACATGTACATGTATCTACAACAACAACTGCAATACATTCCTCCCCACCCACCAACGGGCACTCACCACTTCATCACAAGGCAGCTGGCTAACTATGAGTATGAGTATGAAGTATTGAAGACTAACCTACAACGATGGTGGTGTAACAATCGCCTCTGTAGCATCAGCGCTTTGTTCCATGGACATTGAAACATCTCCTGGCATCATCGTTCAGTGCTCTTCTATTCCAGGAGTTTGAACCTTTTTGTGTGATTTTCAGACCAAGTCCGCACCAGTACCATGTACTCGAGCATCAGCCATTACAGAAACATCTCTTGGTTTGTACGTAATAAAAAAACAATAGAACTTAGAAGGCAGAGACCGGAGATTGAAAGCAACAATTTCGTCTCTCATTTGAGCAAGCTGCCTCCTGGGTCAGAGACAGCTCTCTATTGTGGCGGCCATTAGAAGAACCTTGATCAAACGTGGAAGTACAAGGAAGATACCTATAATCACGGAGCCTCAACAACAGGACTTGAAAACAGCATGTGGTGTCACCGTGTCCACTCATCAAGCTTCTTCTCCATGCATTAAACGTGATATATGGCAGCCATTAGACAAACCCTCCAGACACAGCAAATGGCAAAAGAAAGGGTCTAACTCTGCAATAAAAGACAAGCTTGTGATACAGCTTCTTCTTCATTTCGTCTTTGAAACTTTCTGGCCTGGAGTGACGTGAACTGAAGCTAAAAAGCTGGATAATCCCAACCAACCCCACCCTACCTCCTTACAGCTAGTTTGCTTATATACCCATGGTTTGCTTGCTTCTCTCACCCTGTTTGCACCGGGCAAGGTGTGAACTGGGACCGCTTTCTCACCCATCCATGCCCTTGTACATTGCGGGCTTGTCCCTGTGAAGGTCCTACACTAGTAGTAGTACTACTGGTACCGGTACACATGGTAACATGTACATGTGCCATGTGTACCGGTAATCATAACTCATGCTCCCATGAAGCCTGAAGATGCACCATGCACCATCGATCACTGAGTGATGGCGCGAATGTTTCACCCATAAAGGGTCATACATAAATTTATTGTACAATCATGTAGAACTCAGGAGCCAAACATAAACTGGTTGAAGTGTCTGTGCCCATGCATTGCACACACTACTAACACTTGACAGTTCTCCTTGCCAGTCATGGAAGCAAAAAGCTACCTCCACCCTAGCGAGGCTAGAACCTGGAATATTAGATTGTCGAACAAGTGAAAGATGTACAATGCTATCAGGGAAGTTAGAAGCAACTTCTCTCATCCAGATAAATGGATCTCAATGCGGCTAGAGTACAGCAAGGACCTACATGTAGGCATGCACGTAACCTTGGTAATCATGCTGGAGGTTTGCACGTAACCTTGGTAATCATGGTGGAGGTTTGCACATAACCTTGAATAATCATGGTGGATGTGGAGGACATCAGCCATCACCATTCTCAGCTGATAACAGTAGTTCACAGACAGCAAAGGGGAGCGGGTCAGTGCTCCAAATGCACTTGCACTTCCTCTACCCCCGCACGCATTAGCCTAGTGGCTGCATGCACTGGACCACTTGGGGGGGGGGGGGGGGGGGGGGGCTGAACCACCAGCAAAGATGCATCATGTATAAGTACAGAACAGTCCCTGAGTTTACTCACAGCATGGCACTGTCTGCAATGCAGTCTGCAATGCAGTCTGAAATACAATCCATTTTTACCTCAAGCTCTCACTGAGAACATGGTAGTAGGGAGAAGAGAAGGAAATTCAGTACCGATAATTATTATGTTTACGGAGGGATAATCATAGCGGGTACAGCCATGGAAAATAGAAGGAAATGGCGGAGAGAAAGTCCGTACAGAAAACAGGGCTAAAGAATAAACAAATGCGTAGATCATGCAATGACACACTGCTTAGACACAGCAGTGTTTGGAATGATCTGAAGCGAATGATAGTCTGCTGGCATACGTGTGCCAGAAGCTGCATAGCCCTAAAATACATTCTGGCCAGACATTGCAGTTCTCTCAAGTTTGCTGCCGAAGCAAAGGGAAATATCTGTCTGCAGTGCATACGCCGTGTGTGCAGAGTCGTACACGCACAGCACACAGAAGGCTGGGAGTAAATCAATGTGAACATAGTGCAAAAATAAAGGGTTATGAAACTTCTGATGGAGAGAAAGACAGCATACTGTCCTATATCAGTATGTACATAAAGGGGCAGACATGATAAAGGGGCAGGCATGCTAAAGGGGTAGACATGCTAAAGGAAAGCATACAAACGACACCCATTACTCAAGCAGTTATCTTGTCTGCACACAGCACTCGCACACGCCCTCGTAATAAGACACTCGCAAATAGCACTCGTACACCACACTCCCCACACAGCACTCGCACACCACACCCGCACACGGCACTCGCACACGGCACTCGCAAATAGCACTTGCACACAAGGTGTATCCGATGTGTACAAGCCATTCAACACCATACACCACCCAGCTTCATTCTCGCATGACATGCATGTACACACACACTGCCTGTCCTGACACATGTACACACACACACACACACACACACACACACACACACACACACACACACACACACACACACACACACACACACAAACACACACGCCTGTATGTCGGACAAACTATTGCTGCCAGAAGAAGCAGCATAGGTACCGAGACACTCACAAGCATATGCGTAGCAACATCGGGTACCACCAACACTACCCTGTTCACTCACAGACTGGATTCTCGACTTGCATTGAGATTGTCGAGATGTTCCAGTACAAACGCTATAGTGCGTTGACGCACCAAGCTCATCTGACTCTCTCGCTGGTCAAGACGTCGCTGCAGCTCATGAACTTTCTTTTGAAGATGCTCATTCTCCATCATTAGGTCATGCACTCTCTGCAACAAAACACACAGAACAAAATACAAAACAAAATTACCAAAGTCTCTTTGTTCTTCCTTATTTTATCCATGATAACATTGGCTCACCATCTGAATTCAAAGGTCTCCAGACCAAACAAAGATCAATACGTGTTGGTCTGCACAGTATTGTTGGGCTGGTGATAGCCTTAGGGTGAAGGCTCAGGGTGACGGCCGGGTCCTAAAAAAGACCTTGGCAAATTCCGTCGCCAGTACGCAAAGACTGATATGCTCACAATGCCATGCCATTGAGGTTACGAGAGATTCGCAGCAGAGACCAATGTAAGAACATGCAGTTCTCTACGCCACTGACATAATGGTATCAGGGGGCGTCGGAAGGTATTTTGGTGTGGTACGGTCAGCCATCTGAAGTACAATTCGCTCGTGGGGAAGGGGTTGTTGAGCCAAAAAGTTTGGAAGTTTAGAGCCCAGATTAGTGTGTTTTATAGATTCACGGGATGGTACCTGGGGGCAATAAGTGGCACGATCAATACCGTAGTGACCATACCGTATTCGACGCCCCTGGACCGTATCCCCAAAACTAATGTTTCTATTCTCATGCACCATGATGCTTGTGATCAGCTCACTGGATACGGTGTGATAGCGGATACAGAAGGTAGACTGTAGAAGGTGGTGCATGACCAGGTATTGCTCAGCGGCAATGCCCACGTACCCCCCCCCCCCCCCCCCCCTCCACGGAGGTTTGTGCCATGACAACTTGACATTTCCAGACTAGCTGCACATCTCTTCTTCCAGTTCTCTTTCTCCAGTGCATGGTTGGGTAGGAACAAGACGTTGGGTACAATCAGCGAGAATACCAGCAGAACAAACAACATGGCCGGTGACAACAATTTCCTTCATCCAGCATTCCAAAGCCTCCGCATGTGATATAAATCTTACTGTAATTATCTCTGCCATTGGCCACAGGCCATCTTGAGAACAAATATTTGAAGCAGTAACAACTATGTTGGCTACGGTGGCAGCTACAGTACAGAAGTGGTAGTAACAGCAACCATGGTGAAAGTGACGATGACGGAGACAATGACAATGACACTGTGGCTGCCAATGGTCTAATCAATGAAGACTCACCGTTGTGACTTCATCCTGCGTGATCTTGCCGGATGTCAAGCCCTGCTGGAGATCACTTACTAACTGGATGGTACTGCGTCGCGTCGTCAGCTGAGGATGGCGCTTGGTGCCTAGCACAGGATGTACAGCACGTACACACACGGACATGCATACACACACACACACACACACACGCGCGCACGCACACACACATGCACACACGGAAACAGATAGAGAGATGTGTTTAGAATGAGCAAGTCTGTACATTTAGTAGTACTGTCTGTACCTGAACTGAATACCAAGTATGCAAGTATGCAAGTATGCAAGTATGCAAGTATGCAAAGCAGGGCTCAACCTTGATCTTGCTCAGACCACTAGGGCTCAACCTTGATCTTGCTCAGACCACTAGGGCTCAAATTTGATCTTGCTCACACCACTAGGGCTCAAATTTGATCTTGCTCAGACCACTCTCCCAGAAATAAACCTGAAGTGTCCAGTCAGAACTCAAACCAATGCGTGCCGTGTAAATATCCACCAAGCTAGCAAAGCAATGGTGTGACTCTGTATCAGTTCATAGCATCCTCAATTGAGCTGATATACATGCCCCTTCGATAGCTCAGTTGGTAGAGCGGAAGACTGTAGTGTGCGCATCACTGAGGTGCGCAGTCATCTTTAGGTCGCTGGTTCAAATCCGGCTCGAAGGATTTTTTCTAATTTTTCTTCACCCAGTACTGTAACATTTCCGATAATACAACCGCCTGCCATGCTCCATATCAACTTAGTGAATGCATCATGAGAGATACAATTTTGACAGGAGCACGCACTTCAGTCGACGTTCTTTTGCCACAGTACCGCTACTGTAACCAAAGCAACGATTATGTGACATTTTAGAACGTAGAATCCATACCAAGAAAGAGCCACGTGTGTGTGTGCGTGCGTGCGTGCGTGTGTGTGATCCCCCGGTAGCCTGATTGGGCAGGGCACCGTCCCGGAAAGAGGTGCTGGGTTCGAATACCGCTCGTGGATCCGTCTTTTGCAACAATGGAATGTTGCAAAAGAATGGATATGATTTCCATAGTAGTGCACACTTTAGTCGACCTCTTCTTTTGCAACAGTACCTCTGCTGTAACCATAGCAACAATCACGTGACATTATAGAGAATAAATTAAAAATGCTCACCTGTATGGTTGTTGCCAGTAGCAACCGCCCCATTGCCGCTAGCACCACCACTACCTGCACCCTGCGGTTTCTTGGTGAGTGTGCCCGTGTCAAAGCGATGACAGTCGATCACTATACGATCTTGACAGTGTCGGTGGCAGTTGATGCAACAACCTATGGTTAGAGAACAAAACAGCGTGAAGAGCGTACAGCCATTCATATACATGTACAGTCAACTTCGCTAATAACGACTGCGGATATAACGACAATTCGCGAATAACGACAGAATTTCCATGCCCAGAGCTAAGTCCCATCCAATAGACCATTTGCGCAAATAATAGTAGGGGGGCCGAAAGGGGGCAAGCGTACGCGTAGGGGGGCGTCAGGTGACCCAGCGCTGCAGCAGCGTGCATGCAGCAGCGCTGGGTCAAGCAGACAAAGTACACACTTTCTTGCTGGTTTTGTTTTTTTCGAGTAGACAGAGCTGGTGCACAGTCGAGTCACACGGTCATGGAGGGTGAGGACGGCAGAGTCGGTACGAGTAGTGTCGGAGAGCTGGTAGAAGAGGTTCCTCAGCCTTCTTGGACTATAAAGCAGCTGAGAGATTATCTACGAAAGCAGGGTGGTTTGTTGACAGGACGGAAAGCGGTGCTACTTACGAGGTCGTTCATACGGGGCTTCGTCGACTGATTTTTTTTACCTACACTCACTCACGAACTGCGCGTGACATTTGTTCTACATCCAGGGCGTTATTCTACAAATCCAATCCCGAAGCACCAAGAAGCAAGCGGTCGACCCGTGATGCAGCTCCCGTCGCCACGCGCACTCCAGCACCAGTATTTCCTGACTCTGGCTGGACCCAAGACAGATCGAAACTTCCTCGTGTAACAGCGTCCACGATCTTGTCGCCTTTGCTGCTTACTGGAAAGCAAGTTCGCACCAGTGAGAGCCATGTACTCATCATCAGGAAGCCGCTAGATCGGGGACACGAGCTGTATTTTGGTGGATACATTCACGATGTTAGTGTGTGCTGTGTGGAGGCCGAGATTTTTATCGAAGCCAAGTGCTGGGCAACCCAGAAAAAGTCTACCAAGTACAGCTTGCGACTTGTGTTCACAGATGACGCCAAAAATGATAGTGCTGTGCTGGATTTTGCTGTTTGTGTGAGGGCTGTGTTGCTGGTGGAGATGGTGGGCTCTGCTCTCATGTGTTTGCTGTGTTACTGGTGCTTAGATTTTGGATTTCAGTTTTGGCAGCCTCCGACACGATACTCAAACTCACTCTCACTTTCTCCTCGCCGCGGCTTCTTGGCTTTTGGCTCGACATCGAGCCTCTTTAGTAAAGAATGACGAACAAGTGGAGCACTTCGACGATCCGCAGGAGAGGGTCTCTCGGCTGGTGGTCGCCGAAAGGAGAAAACACTGGGGATGCTTTCCTGCTTCAAACGACGATGCGGCTTCCCAGAAGCTAATGCAGGCAGCCCGGGTAGATCTGGATGGAAGTCTTTTTCCCTGAAATGTTCACTGCAAACAACAGTGCTGGATGAGATCGTGAAATGCGCTCCCTCTTCGCGCTTACATGCCTGCACCCATCTCGCCCTTAGGTCGGGATCTTTGGGATACTTATGAAAAGACAGATCTCGTTGATCTGATCGGCGATTTGAGCAGCCAAACACAGAGCAGTGGTCGTGCGATGGCATCGTGAGGCGAAGGAAAACTACCGACTGAACTACAACCAAACCATTTCAAAACGAAAACAAGAAACACCGTACCCACGGCCACCGGCACCAACAAGCACACGAAATCTCCGTGCAGTACACCACGCACGTACACGCTGTACTTGCACTGTGCAGTGTGCACGGTCGGTCCACGCGCGATCTCATGCACGATGGGGCCCCCCTATAGACCATGCCTTGCCCCCTTACGCCCCCCTACTTTATTTTGTCAAATGGTCTATTGTAATACATATAATGAGACTTCGGGTATAACGACACTTCGCGAATAACGACACTTTTCTGATGCCCCGCCGAGTGTCGTTATAAGCGAAGTTGACTGTACGGTAAAGTAGCACAACCTTTCCCCGCCAGATCCTGTAAAACCGGAAAGTCTAGCGAGTCACAAAGTCTAACGTTTCAACGACCAATTTTTTCGTTATTTGAAAAAACGTTTTCGCGCGGTCGGTTTGAGATGTCTGTGTAAAGATGTGCATACAGATGGGTGGCCAGGTAGCCATTGTTGAACTTTCTGCACGTTATCATGCCAAAATGACAAAAACGTTTTTAAAAACGTTTCGGTCGTTAAACTTTCCGGTTTTACAGTACAACTTCTTTAGAAATAGTATCTTGTAGTATCTGGAAATATTTTTTAAACAATGAAACCATTGAGCTACCACCTGGTACTTACTCAATACCTATTCCACCAAACACATATACAACACACAAAATACATTCGACAATTTACGCAATGAACAAGGTGATAATAATTATATGCGTTGTCCATGACAATCAAAACCCAGCGTCGTCATGACTCGGGATGATTCAGGGCTGGCCGTGACGTAGCACTTCCAAGCCCTTTTGGAACATTCCACTTGGCAAGTCACACATCAACTGCACACACCCAAACAAAGGCTTACTCTTGCATCTCAGACCTTGTTTCACCAGACCCCAGAGCTGCATAGTACACAGGAGTGCAGGCACACACACACACACACACACACACACACACACACACACACGCACGCACGCACGCACGCACAGAGCACACACACACGCACAGGGCACACACACACACACACACACACACACACACGGGCACACACACACACAAACACACACACACGCACACGCACAAATACAACTGTTGCTAAGACCTGGTCACGTGGGCCTCCTCAGTGGAGAGGCAAGAGATGTTCAGAAGACCTTGGAGATTGACTCAATTGGCTTTTGAACGAACAGTGGCCGACAACCTCACCACCACATCCCCAAACTAGGGTGTTCTACGAATAGAATGTATACGGATCTTGAAATCAATACAGGTGGCAGGTACAACAATACACCTTCAAGCAGGCAAGCCGATGGAAACAGACCCAACAAATGAACCACTATCTGCAATGCACGCACCCACACAGCACTATCTGCAATGCACGCACCCACACAGCACTATCTGCAATGCACGCACCCACACAGCACTATCTGCAATGCACGCACCCACACAGCACTATCTGCAATGCACGTACCCACACAGCACTATCTGCAATGCACGCACCCACACAGCACTATCTGCAATGCACGCACCCACACAGCACTATCTGCAATGCACGCACCCACACAGCACTATCTGCAATGCACGCACCCACACAGCACTATCTGCAATGCACGCACCCACACAGCACTATCTGCAATGCACGCACCCACACAGCACTATCTGCAATGCACGCACCCACACAGCACTATCTGCAATGCACGCACCCACACAGCACTATCTGCAATGCACGCACCCACACAGCACTATCTGCAATGCACGCACCCACACAGCTGAGCCAGGGTATCATCACAACACGACGCACAACAGGACGCAACACGCTGAAGGAGAAACACTTAAGTACATGCAGATAAGAAGACCCGGCACGGCAGCAGCAGAACTGCCTGATAAGAGAAACACTAGTAGCTATAGTGAGAAGCAAGGGATGTGGCCTTGCCCGGGTGGCTCAGCCGACGGGTTCATGACATGCCCAGGAACCAGGAACCAGGTAATTAAACTGCACCAATGTTGTCAAGCACATAGTGTTGTACCTACTGTGTATCCATACACAGGCGCGTGCCCCGTATGGGTTCCTGGGTGCCCGGAACCTCCCCCCCCCTTTTTCCGCTCAAAAATGCAGGATTTTGCTTCATTTTTTGAAAAATTTCCAGGGGCCCCCGGAACCCCCCCCCCCCCCCCTTTGAAGGGCACCGCCGCAGGCGCCTGTGTATGGATACCAAGCAGCCTGCACAGCAGCTGCCGGGAACCATCTTAAAAGCAGCCGATACTAAACCCCCTGTACCATTTAAACCCCTGTGCCATTAAACCCCTGTGCCCACATTATTATGACCACTCCTGCCTTATCCATGTGTCCCTTTCTTTTTTACATTTATTGGCACCTCAACACCCGAGTTCAATCATCATCGTTATCAATATGACCATCAATGTTAGTCCTTGTCACATGCCCACCATTGGTAGTCCTTAAGACCGATGACTTACCAGACCTTTGCAATGAGCACAGTAAGCAGGTGAGAAGAACGTCGTCTCCACAAAGTCATGAACAAAGCTCTCGCGCAGCGCACGCATGAAGTTAACCTTCTTGAAGTACGCCAGCATTTCCTCCCGACTCAGCACACCGTCCCTGTACACAAACACGCATGCAAATACAGACAGACAGACAGACAGACAGACAGACAGACAGACAGACAGACAGACAGACAGACAGACAGATAGACAGCCAAACAGACAGACAGACAGACAGACAGACACAGCCAAACATGTAAGACACCATACAGCAGATCTCATTGTTTTTGGCTTGCAGCGGCCATAACAGTAGATCTACAAGTCAGCAAGTATCCTTATACTAGATCCAGACCTCCATAAAGGGATGGAGAGTTAAAGTACGCACAGTACAGACTGCTACTAGTGCTGCGATGAATACAATACATTTATTGAATACAACCATGCACTGACTGTGACATGGAGAGGCTGACACTAACAATCATCATCATGCATCATGATGATACACCACTAGACTAGCAGCAGCTCTACTTTGAGCTTCAACCAGTTTGGCGCCATTGATGACATACATTTACAGAAAGAATAGCACACATGCCGCCATTGCACACAGATTACACATGCACAGGCAACGCTACAATAACAAACGGACTCATGACATGGCTTACTGGTTAGCATCCAGGGTTTGGAAATTCTCCAGGAAGACAAAGTTTGAGCGAATCGACTCAAACTCCTCCATCGATATGGACCCACTCTTGTCGATGTCATAACGTTTGAATACAGACTGCAATTGAAACAATGATAACATTACAAGAACAGCAACGACAACTTATTGGCGATGGTGCCATCGTGAGAATAAAGAATTCAAACAAAAATATGACAAGGGCGACAACAGCAGCGGCAACGAAGATGACAATGAAGACAAAAACAAGAATACCAGAAGCAGCAGCGCGGCAGCAGCAGCAGCAGCAGCAGAAGTAAGCGAACAACGACAATGGCAATGACAACAGCAACAACATTCCCAGTGAAGGAAACAGCAGAGCATGGACAGCATTGTCCTCAGCAGCAATTGAAGTCTCTACAGTGGGGCGTTCCACGCCACCCCAGCTACCGCAATGTCTAGAGCTGTACTCTGTACCACCGTGAGGACCTCAATTACTGCAAGAGAAGTATGCACAAATCTCAGGAACTAGTCTAGCACAAGTAAGTTAGTTAGAAACAGTCCGAGAAACGACCATGCGTAGTGTATGTAAATATCTATTATGCAAGCAGGACTCCACACACTCCGATATGGATCCAACTGATGTTGATCGTGAAAGTCCAGTGTTCAGCTGCATCATGCACACATTTCATGTGTATCACAATATGTTCTGTGCATGCTCAGAGTTCACTCACATCCACCATAGCCTCAATGTATGCATCCATGGTGGATCTGTCCACTTGTACGCTGCTACTCTGCGTCCACACTTGAAATGGAATCACATTCTGTGGCTCCTGAAAAAGAGGTGACAGAGGGAGAGGGGAGAGGCAGACAGACAGACAGACAGACAGACAGACAGACAGACAGACAGACAGACAGACAGCCAGACAGACAGACAGACAGACAGACAGACAGACAGACAGACAGTTCAATTAACAGAGCAACAAGAAATCGGCAAGGATAGATTTCATCAGATTATATCAGTTTGATACAGAACAACCAGACTGACTAGCTACAGGTTTGCACTGGAACATGTCTATATGTTTTGTTGTTGCTCAGAGTCTCATTGTGTTTGCCCACTCTGGGGACAACAACTTATTGTATGAGATTGGACGAAAACATTAGCCATAAAAATCCAGAGCAACAATGAAAATCATTGCCTTGTTACGCTGCACGCTCGTGTCCTTTAGCTGTGCCCTCGTGGTATGGAGCACTTTTGAAGGTAGTTACCAACTTAGCTTGGACACACCGACTAGATATGTATGCAGAAGACGAGAGCACAAAGCATTCCAGCTGAAAGGAAGGACAGTGCAACATTGTGATTCTTTGTGTTACCTTAGCTTCTTTGCTTGTCTTGGGCTCCCGGTCCAGCGACAACTCATACAGGTCTTTCTCGGTATAATGAGGCTGGAAGGACAACTGCAGATACCAACACACCATGTATATACACACACACGAACGTGCACACACACACATGCACACACACACAAACACACACACACATGCACAAACACACACGCGTGCACACACGCGTGCACACACACACACACACACACACACACACACACACACAAACACAAGCTGGCATGTGTTGGGCCGATATTTAAAGATGGTACAGGATCAAACAAGTCGAACTGAAACTTTCGACTGTGCTCAGCTGACTCCCCTCCTGAAATACTTATGCAAACAAATAGTATACAAACATTCCCAATGAGTCTGCCGGCTGTCCATGAACACACAATCAACATACGCCAGTGACACATTCACTGACAAGCAGATGTGCGCATCGTTCAAGCAGAACGCCACAACGCCACGCTGCATACCACCCTAAGGATGAGGATCTGGAGGATTGCTACGGCTCAACGTGAAACTCTGAGTTACGAGCCTTACGACTAACTGCTCATCGTCGTCTTGTTGTTTGTATATGCGGATTGTTTGCTACAGCAGAGCACTTAACGTAGCTCTATACGCTGTATCTATACAAGGTAACCAAACACTTACACTAACAACATGTACATATACATGTAGAATTATAGAAAAGTAAACAGGACCAAGGAACTACAAGTTATGCTCTAACTCATGTCCACTAACCGGCGCCACCAGTTAGTCCATCCGAGTCCACACGTGTAGAATGGAAGAGTAATAACCTAGATTATGTCCTGCCCATCCAGGGCTCCGTTCAGCAGCTTAGCAATGGCTTGCCAGCATCCACATTCTTAGCTCTGTGCAGATTCTAGTCCAGATAGTACTGTGTGTTTGGGACTGGCGTGCTCTGATGCTCGGATGTAGATAAGCTGCCTTGCTGCATATGAGTGTGCTGCAGGGCTGGGCGACCAGCCAGCCACCCCAGTATCCTATATCCTATACTCCATTGGTGCATGAGCGTGCAGGGTGACTTGCCAGCCACTCCTGCATTCCGTACCCAACAATCTACTGGCGCATGTGTGACGACAGATGGTAGAGTGGATGAGTGAATAAAGTTGGTAGGGTGGAGGAGTGAATAGGGATCGTAGAGTGGAGGAGTGAATAGGGATCGTAGAGTGGAGGTATGATGATGGGTGGTAGACGGTCACGAGTGTAGATGTATGAATAGGGAACAGGTGGTCACGACTCTCTAGTTACACATGCTTCCTTTCTCTCCTTCCTGTGTCCTTCGCTTGAGTGATTGCCTTGCTTGCGGCCGTTGCAAATCTAATCCAGTTTGATGACAAGCTCACCGATCGTGTCCTCTTTCATCGCACGACCACCTGAGGCAGTATGGTGCAAGGTAGGTAGGCAGGCTGCGTGTACTGGCGTCATACCTCTAGGCGCTTTGTGAACCGAGTCCGTCGACTTTTACAGGAAAGTGTCGTGTATGAACTGCTTGTGAATACCAAGGGTGACAACTTGATGATGTACATAATTATGTACATTATGTAGATTGACATCTGTCGTGACTCCGCTCCATCGTAAATGCTGACACCCACGTGCAAGCAAGTTGACCTATTAATTATTTTAGTGCAAGGCTGTTCTCACTAGAACCCTCGCAGCTATCACAAAGCTTTGTTCGAACATGTACGGCATTCAAACATGGCTTAGAAGTTAGAACGCTCCACCGTGACACCGAGAAATTGTTTGATGTAGCTTCAAGCTCTAAACCAACAGCTGCTGCTACAAACAAAGAAACTTCACATGTGCACGCGCGCGTGCACACACACACACACACACAGCAAATCATGATCAATCTCGGCATACTCAGTACCTAGTTCTCATACCTGCAACACCTTGAGCAGTTCCTCATCAACTTCAATGTTGGGTGGAATAGACTGCCAGCGGTGTAGACTGTCCAGTAACAGACCAAAGTGCTGAAGCTTGGCAAAGTTAAACGAGCGGTCCGGTTCTTCGCCCACTTTGTTTGGCATGGCAGAGTCGACGGCGACAAGATCCTTCAGCACAATGCCTTAAATAGATGGTTGTAAACACGAAACACAAAGGGAGAAAAGGTCATGGCATGCATCTTATCTAGTGACTGGTGAGATGTTACAGAACGTCATGTGACCAATGGCAATTTCCACTGAAATAAAGTCATCTGATTGTCACGTGACCAATTAATACTGAAACGAGGTCATGCGATTTGTCATGAGACCAATATCCACTGAAATCAAGTCATGTGATTTGTCACATGAATATTGTAGGCAAGAGTATGTAGAGTAAAGCCTGTTTTAAGCAGACGCCCTCGGTGCAGCGGAAACTGTCCTGATATGACAGAATGCCGCTTGATCCAGCGTTGAACGTTCGATCAACAGCACTTTGGTGCACGAAAATATTTTCAGCTTGATGTAGAATTCCGCTTGGTCTAGGGTCCGGCAAACAGAGGTTGTACTGTACAAGTACACTCAGGTATCTACATCTTGTGAAAGCAACAGTTAGTTAAGAATCCTGACCACGCTCCGCAAAGAGCTAGTAACACGATCGAATTGCGAAGGAAACCTGACAGAACTGTGCACATAAAGAAGAACTTTACACGGTACCGGCGAAAACACGTCTGCATTTCCGCCATGGCCAGTGAACGTGGCATGGTC